CCCAAAGTTTGGTTATGAGCCTCAGCATCTCCTTTGATACCCTGCTGGGTTGAGTCTTTCAGAGGCCCCCTGTGGAAGGTTCCTGTCCTGTTCCCTGTCTTCTCCTACTTCCAATATCTATCTTGTTTACCATTCTGAATGAGATTTCAGCCTCTTCCCTAGCATTCTCCTTGTTATTTAGCTTCTTTACGACTATAGATTTTAGTATTTTTTTCTATATTATATGGCTTTGTTGGGTCTTTGTGTGGTTTTGGTATCAAGGTTACTGTGGCCTCACAGAATGAGTTTGGTAATGGTCCTTCTGTTTGGACATCTTTTTAAAAACATTTTCAGTTTCTCCATGAATGTTGTCATTCTGTAGATATAGATGACTATGTAACTCACTTCAAAAACACATTTAAAAAAAATTTTCCACATCTCTTTATAGAGACACAGAGAACCCAGGATTTATGTTGTTGTTGCTCTGCTGTCATTTTGTTGGTGATTATTTTAAGTATAATCTTCTGAGGTTTGTTTTTGTTTAGTTTACTTTAGCTTAGTTTTAGAACAAGACTGAAATACAGTGTCTTCAGATAAATACATGTCAATAGAACAATGTGATCATTGCCAAAGGCTGTGCAGGAAAACAGCTTTAGTACTCACAGAATGGGGCCCACTGGTTAGCACAACCATGATGGGTGTACCTTGACAAGCAGAGCCTTACGTGTCCTGACGGCTTCATGCTGTTATGGAGCATTTCTCTGCTTGTTGCCCTGGTGGTTACCACATCCCTCATAATATATGAGTTGCATGAAAACTCCAAGGGGGCCTCCAGTCCCTCAATGGGCAGTGTCATTGGCACTTACAATAACAGTGTTTAATCTTTTTCAGGCATTGCTGCTGGAGCAGATTAATGATTTGACCATCATCCTTGGAAAGAACTAAGAGATATTGTTGGTATTATGTTTTTGTATAATGTATACAATTTGCCCTTGTTCATTCAAATGCTGATTTATCTACTCTGGTTTCAATCCGGACATTGCATTGTGATGCTTATTCTAAGTGTCACTTCTTTTCAAGTTTGCGTGAACATGCCATTTGTTCTCTGTATTTTCAATTAAACAACCAGCCAATGCTGAGCAATGGAGAGAATAGGGTGGAACATCCTGGTCCAAAGGGGATAGAAAGAAGCGAGTGAGGGGATTAGGAGAGGAGAGTGGCAGGACAGGACTTGAAACCATGAGAAGAGATGAACTAGACATAAGATATGACTAAAAGCAAGTATAATGTGGGAAATCAGAATAGGAAAAAACTATGCAGGGTTGGAGTTTAGGATGGAGTAACTGTTGCCCAGCATTGTGCTCTAGACTAATAAATAAATTAATAAATAAATAAAAACATCAGTGGACTTGGAAAGGGGCAGGAAGGAGATGAGGGAGGGAAGGTGGGATTGGGAGGGAATGAGGGAGCGGGATACAGCTGGGATACAGAGTTAATAAAATGTAACTAATAATAAAAAAAATAAAAACATTTTGATCATATGATGGTATTAGGGAACTTTTTTTTTTGTAATTGTTCTCTAAAAGAAAAATAGAATCTAATCACACTATAACTTCTATACTGCTTGAAAGGTTTTGCTGGAATATTTAAGTTGTGGGAAGAAAACTGAAATTGAATGAATCTTGTTGAAATTTGTTGGAACTTGTTGTGGGAGCTTGTCTTGCCTCATCCGATCTTGTGTGTGAGTGTGTGTGTGTGTGTGTGTGTGTGTGTGTGTGTGTGATCTTTTTTCTTATTTTTTCCTTTTTTTAGTCACCAGCTACCATTAGTAGTGGCCTTTGCTGGCTACTCTCAGTGGCACCCCCCACATACCCATCAGTTACAAAGGTTCCAGCCTGGAGAATCAAGTTTCTTATCATCAGAGAACAGTCTGCTGGGTGATCAGTCAGGTGCTGATTCTATGCCCCACCTCAGTTTACCCCGTGGTGTCAAAGCTGGCCTTAAATAGATCTTAACTTGTCTTCAATATCCCAATAAGATTATCCATGTGCTATTTCTTACAACTGCTACTTGTGGTAGGAGAGACTGAAAGTAGGCATCCATGAGCATGATGTAAGAAGATCCAAAACTCCTTATGATGGTTTTTTATGGAATGTTTCCTACCCCTTTATCCACAGTCCAACTTCCAGATGAAAGTGTTGCATTGTACCAACCCTGGATCCTTCATCTCTGGATTCTAGAGCCCAAACACATTTCTTTTTACTGTTTTCAGTTTTATTGTTGACACTCTAGCCTTGTCAGGGAAACACAGACTACATAAGAAATGTAAGGAACTTGTAGAAACTGAGAAATCCTTACCATTTCTGAAGCCATTGGTCTTTATTAGAGAGACAAAGATATAATTCTCTGTAGACTGCACTGTGCTCTGCTTCTCCATTGATCAAATACTTAATTTCTTTGTTTTTTTCTTAATTTTTTACTTTTTAAATATTACAGTTTGTTAACTTTGTATCCATGCTGTATCCCACTCCCTCTTTCACTCCCAATCTCATCCTCCCACCCTCATCTCCTCCCTGCCTCTTTCCAAGTCCACTGATAGGGGAGAACATCCTCCCCTTTCATCTGATACTGGTTTATCAGGTATCTTCAGGACTGGCTGCAAAGTCCTCCTCTGTGGCCTAGGAGGGCTGCTCCTTCCTTGGGGGTGGAGGGGAGGTCAAGAGCCAGACACTGAGTTCATGTCGAAATAGTCCTTGTTCCACTCATTAGGGCACCCACTTATTAGGGCTACATCTGAGCAGAAGTTCTAAGTTACATCCGTACATGGTCCTTGTTTGGAGAAACAGTCTCATAAAAGACCCCTGTGCCCGGATATATTTGGTCTTTGTGGAACTCCTGTCCTCTCCAGGTCATATTAACCCCCCTTTTTTTCTTTGTTTTTTTTTTTAAGCTTGATTTAATTTCATAGTAGTCAATGTGACAGTGGAGTCTTTCAAACTTAAATTTTAGCACCCTACTTCCATTTTTTTTTTACTCTGAACTCTTATAAAAGAGTTAAATCTCACAGAGACTCAGTCTCATCAGCAATGCTGTGAAGAGGGTAGCAATGACCAACTTATAAGATTCCTTTATGACCAACTCAGAAGAACATGAGCACATTGAAGAGAGACAGAACTGGAGGCTGGAGGGTATTGGGGAACAGCCTGATCTAAGTAGCCAGTGATGCCACCTGGGACCATGGTGGGATCCTGGCCTGTGCTGCTGCTGGGGCCCATTTCTGGGTCTGTGGTCATGCAGCAGAAGGATCTGTTACTATCAAAGACCAAGCGGATGTCCCTGGACTGGGCTGTCGCCTGGAGACATATTAATATCAGAGGGCTGTGCAGATCTGGCCTCAGCCTTCATCTGGGCATCATAGGAGAGCTAGCACTGGAAAATTGAGTGCAGGAGAGCTGAGCCCAGTCAACTGTGGTACTTGGGAGAGCAGGGCCCTAGATATTGCCCAGGAAGCACATTAGAGCTGGCCTTAGTTGTGGGAGTTGCCAGTGAGCAACAGGATCATTACTGATTGCTTCTGAAAGGTCATTGAGTCTACGTGGTTACATCTGGTTAGATCTAGTAGAGAACTAGTTGATTCTGGTGGGTATTTACTAATGGATACTAACAGTAGTGGATTCTATAGACACCCAACAGAAAGGAAGAGCTCAAGTCATTCCCTGTGAGCATCTCTCTGTCATCTCCAGCCCTTCCTGTTCTCTCTCCTCCATTTGTTCAAGGGAAAGTATAATGTTACTGTTTTTCCATGGTCTCACCACAGACCTGTTCAGCAGCTAAAGTCCTTAAGATAACTGCTGCTTGGAGCACATGTGCTCAGAGCCCACTCCTGCCTTCTTTGAGGTGTCAATTGAAGGAAGAGCATCTATGCTATACCTCTAACTCTGTGCTTCTCAGACTGGAGCAGAAAAAATTTCAGGACTCAACACTATTTTCCTTCCAGATTCCTGAAAGCCAAAAACAAAATTACAGCTAGTTAATATTTAAAGCAACCATTGGTCCTATGTGTAAGTAAGAATGGAATCAACTCTAACATGTTTCATTCCAATATTTTTTATTTAACAGCGTGTATCCAGTACCTATTTTCAACACATCCCAAAACACTCAGGCCTGATGTTATAGAGCTGGTTATCTACAGAACCCTGACAGCCATGTGGTCTATTGATCACAGACCAGGTCCAACAAGGATGGGTGGGTGTGTGTGGCAGGAACTGTCACAAGCATCACTATTTCTCTCTACTCCTCACTTTTCTTCATCTCACATGTATGTGTGTGAGGAAGCCCAACCAGTAGCCCAGACAGCGATAGTAACGTGGCAGGAGCAGGTAAGAGAAACAGGTTACATTCGTATGACTGGATGAACAGCTCTCCTGAGAAGCCTGCCTGAGTGCAGAAAGAAGAAGAAAGCTTTCAGGTTGGAAGATCCTTTTTCTCTCTGGTTACCTCACCTTTGTCTTGCTGCCACCATTAGGTGTATGTCTTTGGGCTTGTGTACAGCCAGTATGCTGTCCACCTCTGTGTGGTCCCAGAACCTGGCCCTAAAACCTTCACCCGCAGGGAACAGAGTATTTCTGTTCAGTCTGCCATTCCCCACACCATATCCCAACCTCTTAGGGACCTTCCTCCTTTCTTACATTCAGACCATGGACCTCACAACCTGACACTTTTTCAAATGCAAAATAGCCTCACAGGGACAAGTAAAACACATGAAACACAAACTTTTATTTGCCTATTAACAAATTTCAAGAAGACAATCTGTTGAATCCTGTAGACAAGCTTAGACTTACGGGAGCAACCGGAGGGAACTTTGCGAAGACATTGCAGTCTACCACAAATAATTTTTTGAGCTGTATTTAAGTCTTTAAGGAAAGAAGATAAAGGCACTCCTTTATTGAGCAGCCAATAGATTGGACATTCAACCCTGGATAATCTTACTGCAGTAGAAGCCATTTTAAAGATCCACAGAGATGCTGGGTGCTGTGGAAGGCATCCTCCTTACCATTGCAACTAGTGAGGCTGTACTGGGCATTTTAGGAAACACGTTCATTGCATTTGTGGGCTTCATGGACTACACCCAGAACAAGAAGCTCTCTAAGGTTGCCTTTATTCTCACCGGCTTGGCGATCTCCAGAATTTGCCTTGTGTGGATGTTAATCACAGAAGCGTACGTTAAGATCCTCTCTCCACAGTTGCTGTCTCCCGCCGACGTCATTGAACACATCAGTTATGCATGGATAGTTATCAGTCAATTGAACGTGTGGTTTGCCACCAACCTCAGTATTTTCTATTTCCTGAAGATAGTAAATTTTCCCCACTATGTACTCTTCTGGTTAAAACGAAGAGTTAATATAGTTTTTCTCTTCCTAGTTGGGTGCTTGCTCTTGTCATTGTTGTTTTCTTTCTCAGTGGTTAGGAAGATGACTAAAGATAGTAAAATGCTGTATATGAACACATCCTGGCAGTTCCACTTGACGAAAAGAGAGTTAGTCAATAACTATGTTTTCACCAATATGGGAGTATTTTCATTCTTTGTGATAATGTTAACTGTATGTCTTTTGTTAATCATGTCACTTTGGAGACACAACAGGCAGATGCAGTTGAATGGATCAGGATTCAGAGATCTCAACAACAAAGTTCATGTGAAAGCAATAAAAGTTTTGCTGTCTTTTATTATCCTTTTCATATTGCATTTCATGGGTATTGCCATCAGTGCAGTATGTCTGTTAATCCCAGAATGCAACCTGTTATTCATGTTTGGTTTGACAATTACATTCATCTATCCATGCTGTCACTCATTTATCCTAATTTTAGCCAACAGTAGACTGAAACAAGTTTCTGTAAAGATATTGAAACAATTAAAGTGCTCTGAAAAAAGAAACTGTCTCAGAGCCACATGACAGTCTGGAAGAAAAATGAGCCATCTGGCATAGTAAATGGGGAAAAAAAATCCCTGAAGATACTTTCATTTGTACGATGTTTGTTTATTGATTCAGCACCATTATCAAACATTGTTGGAATCTTCTGAACTCTGTGAGTGTCTCTCAAGGAATCACACTCCCTGGTGGGATTTTAATTCTGGGTGCAGGTTCATTTGTTCAGTCCCCTTACTCTTTGACCTCTTCCTATACGTTTGACAGAGGAGAAAATGTCAATCCTAGATAACCCCGTGTAAAGAAAGACTTCATGGTGTGCCTAACATCCAAAACAACACTTTATTGTGATTCTTTTGGCTTTCTGGAACCACTGACACCCTTTCCCCAGAAGACCGAAAGAAAAGGAAACCAAGACAGACAGTTACAATCAATCTTGACATTTGGGACATGGAATTTTTGTCTACATGTTAACTTCTTACAATGTTGCCTTTATTTTTATCCATTAAACCACAAAGTTATTGGTACATCAAGGATTTGTTATAGAAGCATGATCATAACAGTGGTGTTAGCTCTGGTAAATAGCTAGGAAAAAAACGTAATAGAAAAATAGATCGGAACACTCATAAAATGATTCTTCATGCTGATCAATGCCAGTGACATCATCAAATCAGTGCCAGGTACTGTTTTTCAAGTTGTTGGTCAGGGAGGGGGGTTCCCTAAAACAAAATAGCCTGTTGACATTATTCTTGTTTACTCACTACCATTTTATAAGACCTTATTGATGGAAAGAGGAAAATCTTAGGACATAGGACATTGAGGCTGAAACTTATACTGATCTGAAAGGGAAAGAGAAAAAGGTTATGTATTACTGATTATATTATAAAATTAAGCCATCAACTATGTAAATCAGCAGAGTAGATAGCTACTTGAGTGAAAAGAGAGAATGGGGGGAAATCTTTATTGCCTAGCCATATATCCAACACAGGATTAATATTTATAATATATGATAGATTCAAAATATTAAATGCCACCAAACTGAACAACTCAATCAATAAATGGGCTAATGGGGTGAACAAACAGTTCTCAAAAAAAAAAAAGCACAAGAGCTAATCAACATTTCACAAACTGTTAAAAATCCTTGGCTTTATAGGAAATACAAACTAAAATGACATTGGGATTTCATCTCACCCCAGTCAGAATGGCTGTAATTAAGAACACAAGTTACAACAAATGCTGTCAAATGCTGTCAAAAGCACTGGGGAGGGGGTTATTCTACTCTGCTGGTGGGCATGTACAAAAATAAGTATGGATGGTTTTCAAAAACATAAAAAAGTGCTACTATATGACCTACTACAGCAATACTGGCTACACATGCAGGAATCCCAAATCAGTATACCACAATCATGCTTGAACATTGTGTTCAATTCAACACTATTCGCATTTTCAAGTTAAAGAATCTGCCTTGGTGTCCACAAAGAGAATAGATAAAAGAAATGGAAGTCAATTTGGCCATAAAGATTAGTAAAGTATGGCATCAGCAGAAAAGTAGATACAACTGGAGCAAAATAGGTCAGACCAGAAAGACAAATGTTGAACACTTTCTTTTTATGTAAATCAGCAAACAAAATAGCTCGTCTACAGAATGGGAGGATCTTTATTATCTACCCATATATCCAACATAAGATTAATATCCTATTTTTTACAAGTTCAAAATATTAAAGGCTACCAAGCCAAACAACTTAAATTTTACATAAATAAAATGCATGTGTAAACATATAAATACACACACACACACCACACACACACACACACACACACACACACACACATATGCTATTGTCCAGAAAATAAAAACATAAGGAAAGAGAAGAGAACAATGGTGCAAGTTTGAAAATGTTAAAATCATAATGTGCTTGAGTGAGAATATCTTTATGAAACCTATCAACAAGTACAACAGTTATGCACAAATACAACTTTTTGTTATTCTGAAACTTACTACACTTACAAAGGAACTAAAAGTTAAACATTAAGTCAATATTCAGAATAAATAGGTTATATTTTGTCTATATCTAGTTTTTATTTGTACACCCAGATTATGTCTATAAACCATGAAATTATGATGATTTTTTTTCTTTTTTGGTTTTCCTACTTTCTTAGTCTTGTAGATTTTTCTTCTTGTTACATTTTTTTCCACTAGAAAAAAAATTTGTTGAGACCTCATTAGCTGAGCAAATTGCTTTTGGCCTTAAGCACCTTCCTCCCTTGCAGTGTATTTTTTCTTGAGTTGTCCCATGAATGCTTCCTTCACCTCCACAGCCTGGAAACGACCATGGCAAAACTTGGAGGTGGTATTGATAAAGTTCATGTCAGTCTTCTCCAGAGTTCACCAGAGGCTGGAGCAGCAGATTCCTGTGAACCAGGTGTTTGGACAGGATGAGATTATTGATGTCATTGAGGTAACAAAAGGCAAAGGGTATAAAGGGGTGACCAGTCATTGGCATACAAAGAAACTGCCCTGCAAAGCCCACAGAAGACTGTGTAAGGTTTCCTGTATTGGAGCATGGTGCCCTGCCCATGTGGCCTTCTCTGTGGCTGGACAGAAAAGACTACCATCAGCGAACAGAGATTAACAAGAAGATTTACAAGATTGGTCAAGGCTACCTCATCAAAGATGGTAAACTCATCAGGAACAATGCATCTGCTGACTATGACCTGTCTGACAAGAGCAACAACCCACTGGATGGCTTTGTCAACTACAGTGACCAGTGACTTCCTCATGCTCAAAGGCTGTGTGGTGGGTATCAAAAAGAGTGCTAAATCTTCTTCACAAAGTCTGGTTTCATTTTTTATGTTACTTTTTTATGTAATATTTTATGTTACGTTTTTATGTAACATTTTATGTCACATTTTTTTGTTTCATTTTTTTCTTGTTAACATTTTTATGCTAAATGTTTAATGTAACAAGAACAACTTGTTTTCTTCAGAAGAGAGCTGTGGTTTAACTAGAAGATCCCAAACTCACAGGCTAAAGCGAGGCAACTTCTCACTCTCAAGGAGCTGGTACTGATCACTTCATATTTAAAACATGAGATTCAGTACTGTTCTGGTTGTTTAACTCCTGACAGTGCCTATCTGCCACTCCTACTCAACTACTAGACTTATTACATGCAAAAATAGTCTCAGAGGGGAAATTAAAAACCATGAAATGGAAACACTCATTTTCTTACAAGCAAATTACACAAAGACATCTAGTCTGTACACATTCTGTAGACAATCTAAGTCTTACAGGCCAAGAGGACAGAACTCTATGAAGACAATTGAGAATCCACCACAACATATTCTTGATGCAGTTTGAAGACATTATTTAAGGAAAGAAGAAAAAGCTCTTCTTTGAAGCAGTCAGTGTAAAGGACACATTGCAGCAGATCTACAACAGTTGCAAAAGATGCAACCATAGGTTCTGCAGAGATGCTGAGTGCAGTGGAAGGTGTCCTCTTCTCTGTTGCAACTACAGAGGCAATGCTGGGGATTTTAGGGAATACATTTATTGCACTTGTTAACTGCATGGAGTGGGCCAAAAACAAGAGGCTCTCTATGATTGACTTCCTTCTCACTGGCTTGGCAACTTCCAGAATTTTTATCATATGGGTATTAACCTTAGATGCATACACAAAGCTATTTTATCCAACCATGCATGTGTCTAGAAGTCTAAGCGAAAGCATCACTTATATGTGGATGACTATGAATCACCTGACTGTCTGGTTTGCCACCAGCCTCAGCGTCTTCTATTTCCTGAAAATAGCAAATTTTTCCCACTATGCATTTCGCTGGTTAAAGAGAAGAACTGATAAAGTTTTTGTCTTTCTAATAGGGTGTTTGCTAATAACATGGCTAATCTCCTTCTCACTTGTTGTGAAGGTGATGAAAGCTGACAAAATTAAGTATGGAAACAGGACCTGGGAGACCTACTGGAAGAAAAGGGAATTCACTAGTAACTATATTTTAGTCAATATTGGAGTCATTTCTCTCTTTGCGATGACCTTAGCTGCATGTTTCTTGTTAATTATTTCACTTTGGAGACACAGAAGACAGATGCAATCTCATGTCTCAGAATTCAGAGACCTCAACACAGCAGCTCATGTGAAAGCCATGAAGGTTATGATTTCTTTTATCATCCTTTTCATCTTGTATTTTATAGGTATTTCAATAGAAATTATCTGCTTGTTTATTCCAGAAAACAAACTGCTTTTTATTTTCGGTTTGACAACTGCATCCATGTATCCCTCCTGGCATGCACTTATTCAGATTCTAACAAACAGTCAGCTGAAGCAAGCCTTTGTGAGGGTGCTTCGGGGACTAAAGTTCTCTGGGGAAGGAAGACCAAATCTCAGGGCCCTGTGAGAGTCTGGAATAGAAATGGGTGGTCTGGAATGATCATAAGGAAATCATAGAAGATCCTTTTCATTGGTACAGTGTTCTGACATTGTACTTGAGGAGATGAGACATTATGGCTTCTTTTTAATTTTTACTGATTAGTGTGTGTGTGTGTGTGTGGTGTTTTGGAGCTGCAAGAGGGGATACATGCGTTGTTAGTGTTTTTAACATTTGTATGCAAAAGCCAAGGAGCTGGTTCTCTCTTTCCACCTTAACATAGGGTCTTGCTTTGTGGCTGTCACTCCGATACTGTAGACTAGCTGAGCTCAGAGCTTTCAGCCAGTTCACCTGTCTAAACCTCCCTCCTCGTGGTGGGAATGCTGAGGCTAAAGATGTATGTCACTGCCTCCAACTTTTTAACAAGGTTTCCATAGATTGACCTCAGGTCACATGGTATGCACAGCAATGACTTATACTCACTGAGCTATCTTGTCGGCCTCTTCATATTCATTATTAAATGTAGTATTAAACTTTATTGAAATCTTCTGCAACTGTTCTGACTATAACTCTTGTTATCTCACTCTGTGGTGAGATTTTAATACCACGTTAAAAAAAAATTGGTTGCTCAGTCAGCCTTCTACTCTGCCATTCATTCCCACACACTTAGCAGAAGAAGAAGACCATCAACCTGCAGACTATTCTATATAAAGACTTCTACAGATAGAATAAATTTCTGAAACAAGACTACATTGTGATTAGATTTACTTCCCCAGCACTAATTCCCTTCCTGCAGAAAGACTCACAGTCAAAAGAACTGACGCAGCGGGTTGTGGTCACTCTCCACATTTGCCATGTGGAGCCGAAGAACAGAGAGGGATGTTTCCTTTGTTTTCAGTTTTGCTACTTACAGTTACTTTGTTTCATCCATTAAATCCCAAAATGCTTGTTACTAGTGGATGTCTGATGAAGCAACAGTGTTTAGTAGAGCGACTGCGGCTCTGAGACAAACAGCTAGAGAAGCAGATACTATCTATAGAAGAACGTATGATAAATGGAGTCTTCATACTGTTCCGGGGATTTGAAATGGAGCAGCCAAAGATCAATTAGAGCTAAGGAGAGAATCTCCTGGATCCAAAGGCACAGTGTCTGATCAAAGTACAAAATAGTGGACCAAGCCCGCGACCTGTGTGGAGTAGGCAATGTCTTGTTTAGGGTTTGAAACGCATGTACACATGCTCATCCATGTACAGACACCTACACATACATTTGGACTGTTGATTTCTCAATAATCAATGCTTAAACTTTATCTAAAAGCTACTTTTGAGACCTAACTCTTACCAACACTGAATGGATATCCCTGATGAAGCCATTAGGCAATGAATGCAAGCTGCAAGCGATGACAAATATTTGCACTTACATTTTGTGACAAAATGTTCTGGAAAGTGCTAAGCAGATGGCTTAGGACTGCTTCAGGTAGAAGCTGTGTCACGGAGCAAAAGATGGTTTAAACTGAACCTGAATAAGCTGAGGTGAGGTGAAAGCAGTAAGGTAGTTTCAAGATGGAAAGATAGCTGTAACTAGAATGGAGCAGAGACCACTGAAAGGTCACAGTGTGTTGTGAAACACGCACACAGGACGGACTGTAGATTGTGTAAGAGACATCCTAATGGGAAGATTGGTAAATTCATCACAAAATTGATACATTCTTCCACCAAAGAGAAATCAACATTTTAATGGCATTTAATATTTAATTTTTCAATATTATCATATTTAAATCTCATTCATATCATATCATTCATTTCTCACTAATCGTATTCAAATCTCAAAACCACTAACTAAAAGTTATTAGTTTAAATCCAATTCTGGTTACAGAAACACTTTTTCCCTAAAGGGCGTACATAGTCCTTATGATGTTGACATTGTGATATGCTTATAACAGCACAGATATTTTAGGGATTATCTATTTGTTTTCCTCTTAGCTTTCAGGTCCTATGTTTTCCTTGTGGTAATTGTTTATATTATATATTATGATGTCTATACGCTGTCACATTTTCTATTAACTTGCTGTCTAGAAAATAACTATCAGGTCTCATTAGGACTGGCTGCATTGTCTTCCTCTGTGGCCTGGTAAAGCTGTATCCCCCGAGGGGGAGGTGATCAAAGAGCAGGCCAATCAGTTCATGTCAGAAACTGTCCCTGTTCCCATTACTATGAAAAAATGGTAATAAAAGTTTCTTCATTGAAATACATATGACAAAATGTCTTATTTTAACTGTTTTAAACTTAGAACTCCAGGACACTAAATATTTTTACAATACTGTGGAAACACTGGTTCTTTCTAAGTCAGTTATGGATATTCTGAATCATTCATAAACTTGCCTTAATCATAGTAACAACATTTCTATGAATGCTCGAAGCAACTTATTTACAATGAAATACAATTATTTTTCACTTTCTGAGCTTTGTGGACATTAGTTTTTCCAAGTTAAACTAATATTATTTTGTAGCACTTTGTACAAGAAATTTGTCTTACTCTCTGTTCAAGGTCATTTCACACTTAGAGTAAACTGCATAAAAATGATACTTCTGTTCTAAGTTATTATTAAACCTAATGACAATTATAACTATAAAAAGTTAACCTAGAGAGTTATAGAGATATTTTTAAATGTGTACAATTATTAATATACAAGAGTATGATAGATAATTAATAAAAAATTCTTGCTGGAATAGCAATAGGAAAATATTTATACTAAAGGAAAGTGGAAATAAAAATATAAATGAAATTAATTACAAAAATTTTTCATATAGGTGTTGTTTCACTTATTTTGAAATATCTTAGGAACAGCCATGATAGCATAGACGATACAGACACTTGCCACCAAACCTGGAAACATGAATTCAATCCCAGGAGCCTGCATGGTGGAGAGGAGAGATCCAGCTCCTGAAAGTGTACTTTGACCCCCTCCAAGACACACACTCACACATGGTAAAAAGGTAATTACAAATTGCATATATCAGACATTATCTCAATTGGACTCATTGTGCATATTTATGTAAAGGATGTTAAACTTCTAGTTATGTAAAATGCTGGCCCTTTGTATTTTGTTTTATGTATTTCCTTTATTTAAAAAAATCCTTTTAAGATAATAGCGACAACTTCGCAAATAAAGGTCACTGCAAGCAAAACATACAGCTGTTAGGGGAGGTCCTCCTCCCCTTCTGTCTGACCCTATCAGGTCTCATCAGGACTGGCTGGCTATCAGTGGACTTGGATAGGGGCATGGGAGGAGAGGGGGGAGGGAGGGTGGAACTGGAAGGGAATGAAGGAGGGTGCTACAGCTGGGATACAAACGGAATAAACTGTAATTAATATAAAAAATAAAAATTTAATTTAAAAAAGCATACGGCTGTGATAGTTTGTCAAAATGACCAACCCCTGGGTATGCCTGTGATTGTGTGGGGCACCATCCTAAAGAAATAAAAATGAATGTGAATGGGACAGCAGCGTTGGTTTCTCAAGCCTTCCTGGCTGTGGAAATATTGTAAACAGCTGCTTCGTGCAACCGCCACCAAGACTTCGCTGCACCTACTAACTGTAAGCTGAAATAAATGTTCTTTCCCATAATCTGCTTTTCAACAGATCTGCTTTTCAACATCGTTTTTAATAGCAGTTAGAAAAATAATGAGTGCAAAAAAACCTTCCTTTTTCCAGAAAGGGGGGGGGGGCTGTTGCTATGGTAAACCTGACCACGTGGTTTTTTAAAGCTTTGAGATTGGTCTGTGGGATGAGTGTAGAAAAGCGATGCCCAGAGCTACAGAAGCTATGGCCCCGCTTAGTAGGGCATTCTGAGGATGGTGTGGAACACCAGAGGACATAGGAAGACAATATTCTTGAGAATGTAGAGAGAAACAAGATTTCCTTAGAATGAGGCTATAGGCTGTTTGTTCGTGTAACACACAGGCCAAAGATCTAGCTGTTTGTAGCCTTGCCCTGAAAACAGCCGTGAGGCTGAACTGAGAGGTAATGACTGACATTCTAATTTGAAAGGGGAAATTTTAAGAAAGCAAAACTATCCAGACTGTTAGCTATTAGTTATTGCTTCCTGCTCTTATATGTGCAGTAGCAAAGGGCTGAAACACATTTTTTTTTAATATGCAGTTTCCTGAAGAAAGGGGAAATGAATTTAAATTGCTGATGAGGCAACTCTGGAGAAAGAACTGAGAGCATCCACGTAACTGTTTTCATTAAAGAGGAAGCACCTGTTCAGCACTTGGACAGCAGAAACCAGCAAGGAGGGACCAGGGAAAGAGAGATGGGAGTGAGGGAGGAGTGGAGCAGCGAGGGAGGCAGAACTGGTGATTTGCCAGCGCTGAGAGAAAGAGCTGAGGTCAATGGTGGATCGTACCGTTGCTCAATCTGGTCGATAGAATAGTGTGCAGCAGCCCAGAGTTTAAGCAGATAGAGACTGAGCCCCCAAAAAGATGGCTGTCATGGGATGACCCTACCTTTTGGCAAAGAAGGAGGCCAGAGATGAGGAACAGTCAACTGTCTATATTGGATCTCTTCAAAAGACCACCTGGTCCATGATGCCACTGAGGACCATGAGTAAGTCAGTGGCCCTGATGTGGCCAGGGTTCCAGTTGATGTCTGAGGACCATGTAGTGGCCTGTGCCATGGCCAGAGTCCATGCTGATGTCCACGGGCCATGGTGCCACTGGAAGCCATACTGATCTGAGTGGCAACCACTGCCACCTAGGACTAATGTGATATTCAGGCCCATGCAGCCATGTCTGAATCGATGGTCTTACTGTGGCGGGGTCCGTGTTGAGGCCCAAAACTGGTGCTTCCACAAAAGGCCATACAGATGTCTGAAGTCTATGTTGCAGCCTGAACCCACACTGATACAGTGGGCAGTGCTGCTTCCAGGGGCCATGCAGCCAAACAGGGCTGTGTCTCTTTGCCATGTCCCATTGCCTAAGGTGATCTGAGCCTCAAGGAGACTCATATATATAGCATAGTGTTTACA